TCTCCGCAGCTTTTTAGCAAGTCCTTTTTCGCGACGGTGTAGCGTGCGGCTCAATGCGGTGATGTACGCTTATCGTCGGTAGTGCAGCGGACGTGCGACGGCGATGCCGCACGACGAGGTCAAGCTGGAGACGGTGGAGAAGGGCGAACGGTGCGATGAATAGATGACCCATCCGGGATAAATGCATGGATGGGCGTGCAAAACTAATGACAAACGGGCGTGCGGCACGAACATTCGATAGCGGATGGGCGTGCACCGCAAAAAGCAAATGAGATGGGCGTGCAAAACTAATGACAAACGGGCGTGCGGCGCGAATAAAGGTGGGTGCTGTAGCGTGTGCCATGCATGAAGTAGCATCCCTCCCTCTTGTCCTCCCTCGTTCACCCTCGGCCCTCCTCTGCCTCTGCTTCTTCCTTACATAAGTCAAGCCAGCAGATCCACTTGTTCCGAAGCTTTCCTCTCGCCCTTCAGCTAGATTCGAGAGTACTCTTCTTCTCCACTCCGTTCGTCCTTGTGGCGTGCCTCCTTCTCAGAACCTTTCTCTGTCTTTAGCCCTCGCATGCGAAGCTCGTCAACTCGGTCTACTGAGAAAGCACTTGGCTCCCTATTAGAACCTCGCTGATGCTATCCGGCCCACCTGCCACCTCTTACATACATCAAGTAGACAGCAAGTAGGCACGGCCACCCTTGTGGGTAATGCCCCACCGATGCAGCTCCCTGCATCACTTTTCCGATGTGTCCACCTCCTTCCCTTCCACCCCTGACTTCGTTTAACTTCTGCTCCTCATTTTCCAAGCCTCTTTATTCATGTCATCCGCTGCAAATTTCTCTGTCTCCGCTTCCCCCTCTCCCATGGCTCCTGCATCGCATCCCTGTGACTTATTCCACCCGCGGTCACACACATCCTCAGCTGCCTCTTCCTTGTCTGCCACCAAACCGGACTTCACGCCAGCCGCTTTTAGCGTGAGGTGGGCATCCCCTTTGCTACTGCTTTAGTTTCGTGCATAGGATACCTCTATCCTCCTCGCAGCACATCAAGTTTCACCACCACTTCATTCCTTCTGTCCGTTTCTCTGTCACAATATCTTGCTTCCCGCTTCGGGTGCTCCAGCCACTCCACGCCATCCATTTCTCCATTCGCTTCGGTATCTCTGCCTGCCCTCATGGCTTCTTCTCTCGGCACTCTTCTGCCCTTCAGCATGCCCCACTGTTCCTCCTGTGCGCTTCCCTTGCCGCTGCTTCCATTCTATGCGTGCATATCTTCATCCACAGCTCACCAAACTCAGAATGCATCGTCGCCTCGTCGGCTTGCCACCCCTGCTACCCTCGTTACCCATCTCCTCTTCGCTGCACCTTCACCCGGCTGCTCCTCTTCCGCTGCCTGGCTCACTCCAGCTTCCACTCCATCCTTCTGGACTTACCCAATGACTTTCAATACTGGAACCTTGTCCTTGGATTCACATTTGCCTTTCACTTCGAGTGCCACATTTGTGCTTCTTCTGGGATGCGGAAAGTGGGAGAGGCTGCTTCATCCGTCTTGGCGAGAATGGCCCAATCACAGGAGTTGAAAGAGGCGATGGAGATGGTGAGAGCACTTGCCTTGCAGCAGGAAGAGACGAGGAGGGAGCTGGCAGCTACCAAGGGGGAATTGGCGGAGGCTGAGAGGAAGCGAGTGGCGGAGATGAGGGAGATGAGAAGGCAGCTGGAGGAGAGAGCAGAGCAGATGCCTGCAGTATTGGCTGTAGTGCAGGGGGAGTTGGGTGAGCACAAGGAGTCCACTAGACTGCAATTGGAGGAGGCTGAGAGGAAGCGAGTGGCGGAGATGAGGGAGATGAGAAGGCAGCTGGGGGCGAGGGAGAGGGAGCTGGCAGCACTGGAGGGGAGAATGGCGGAACAGAAGGATGGCGTGATGAAGCTGCACTATGATATGAAAATCAGCCAGAGTAAAGGCTATCAGAAGGAGGCATGGGAGGTGAGTGCTGAGTGAACTTTATTCCAGGGCATGCATCGTTGCACAGGGCCTGCATTGCTTGCTAGCATTTTCTTGTCACAAGAATCATCCCTTTTCTTGTCATGTTTTCCCTCCGACGATTTCTTCCAGGCAATTGAGTTAGCATCACAAGATACTTATCTGGACTTGAAGAATCTCCGCGACCTCTCAGACGATATCCTCTCCCATGTGTCCACCATGACACACCTAACAAGCATCAACTTCAACTCTTCTTCAGGCTTCCGTGCAGAGGGCGTCAAGCACCTCTACAGACTGCCACGACTGGAGATGCTAAACCTCAGAGCCACATCCGTCACAGACAGTGCGTTGGAAGGCATTGGGTCCCTAGTTAGCCTGAAGCTGCTCTATCTCCATCGGACCAACGTGACCGATGCTGGTCTACTGCACTTGATAGCTCTTCCCTCTCTTAAACTGTTGTGGCTTTCTTTCTGCAAGGGTGTGAAAAGTGCTGGCATGATGCATGTGGGGAGGCTTACAGGGCTTGAGAGGCTTGATTTGGATTACATGGTAGTCACGGATGATGGGCTGCAGCAGCTGACTGCCCTGACCAAGCTGAGAACCCTCTGGACGCCAGAAGGGGGTACACTTGAGAACGATGATGCACGCAGACGGGTAGGGGTGTGTAGGGTGGCAGGGAGTGATGATGAAAGGGAGGCAACGTGAGGGAAGAATGAAGGGAGCACTTGGAGGAGTCTGCAAGTTGGCTTTGCATGTGTAGTGCCCAGGGCAGCCTAGGGTCATTCTCGTACCTCGTACGAACAGGAGTGGTAGGGTATGTGTGTATGCATGTTAGATCGTGGAGGGGGCGTGCAAGAGGGTGCATCGACCTGTTCGAAGGGCATGATGTTGGCTAGATACCGGTAGTTGATAGCTTGGCATGCTGCTGCATTGCCCACCCGTGGTGGACTGTGACTGGCAGGGCTGACTGAATGGCATGCAGGGTGTGGGGTAGAAGCAAGGGGTATACTAACATGAGCATGTGAGCTGTTGCCTGTTAATACTGGGCTGGTCTGTATCTTGTAGGGCTCCTCAGGCAATATGGCAAGACTTCTACCTGATTGGACTGGCTATCAAGCATCTCCAAATTCAGCAACCTCCATGGATACCAGTGTCTAGACAATTATGAATGCTCTATGCTTATCACCTACTCTCAATAAATCAGACAAGGGATTATTTGGAATAACTGGTTGACATTGCACTAGGCACATATTGCAACTGCATCCACTCACTCGCTCAATTTGAGCTTAAGAAGACTTTGCTGGGAGTAAGTGTAAGGCAGACATAATTTGTTATGATGAGGCATACGTCCACACCAGGCATTCTTCTGATGCACCATTCTGCCACCCCTCAGTATTTGCTGTTGCGTGCCACTGGCACCCTTAAGGTGTCCATCTGAGCTTGAAAAAGAAGCTACAGTACACTAGGAAAGTGAAGGGTAAGATTGCGAGCGCAGGGCCATGTTGACCTGATTGATTGTGGCAATGGCAGAGTAACAGGATGCGTAGTATCGAATGAGGTATGCAATAAGGTATGTCATGGGGTGTGGGGTGAGGCATACCGTCAGCCACAGCAGGCCAACTGCTGCACCATGCTGCCATGGGGAGCTGATTGGGAAGGACAAAGGAGAAGGGCTGGGAACTTATTTTGGGAGTGCTGCAGTCGTGGGAGGATATGTGGCAGGAAGGAGGAGGTGAAAGCAACGAAGAGAGAGCATGTTGGGGTTGACAATGAGGGGAGAAGGGCTGCAAACACTTGTTGGGAATCATGCTGGAAGAGAGTAAAGGCTGGAAAGGCTGACGGGAAGGCATGAGTGAAGGGCAAGCATGAGTGAAAGGCAGGCATGAGTGAAGGGCAGGCATGAGTGAAGGACAGGTACGAGAGGGTGAGCACTGATAGTGTGGGAAACAACTTAGTAGTAGGATGCGCATGATGGGGTGAGGTATGGGATGAGATGTGTACACACAGATAGCTATCACATGCCTATCATTTTCTGCTACAACAACACACAAGCATCGCAGCTCACGCAACTCACAAAAATAAATATATCACCGCAAGCTGTGAGCGTTTCCAGTTTGGTTTGATGATTACCAGCACTGTAGCCATGCTTGTTATGTTACGCACGCCCGTGCCCAAAACATCTCCTCCACTGATTCCTCCTCTCCACCAGCGAGAGACAACAAGGGAGGAAGGAGTTGTAAAGGCTGGGGGGTTGATAGGGCTGGTGGTACGAGACCTTCATGGTCACTGGTCAGCTCTTTGTGGCGGCATGGTCATAACATGACACTGCTTCATGTGCACGTGCATGCTTTGGAAGGGGTGTGTCAGCACCCAAAGAAGACGTGCAATTTTTGACGAGCCCCCAACTCATCCCTGGTCAAACCAGGGCCCCTTTTTCTGCTGTCAGACCATATCGGCTAAGGTTTGACTCGGTCCAACTGAGCCCGTCTGTAACACGTAGCACCTGCGCGGGAGCTAACACGAAGCGCGCAGGTGGCGAGGGCATGCAGCAGCAGCGTGCAGCTGCGAATGTGGGCAGCGCAGGTGCGGAAGTGTGCAGGACGTGGGGAACTCACATGAGAAGGGCGAAATTGAGGTTTTGTGCCTTGAATGACTTGGGTAGAGTTCTGCGTGGGACAGGTGGCGAGGGTACAGTATCGGAAGGTTAGAAATGGGACACGTGTGTGCAAGCAGTGAGTTACAAATGTGTAAAAGGGTGATGCGACTCGATGTCGGGGCTGGCCACCCGAATCGACATTCCGAGCCGCATTTCTGAAATGTAAATGGTGTACATATAAAAATGCATTCGTAGGAGTTAGAGTAGTTGTTCCTTGTTTTCTTTTCTGTTTGTTCTCTTTGCTTCTAAGGAAATTCCTTGGGAAGGATTCTCAGCCATAAACATTAGAACAAGCCTAGAAGCCGTCTAGCTTGTTCCACTTGGTATCCGAGCCTGCGTTTTTCTTTTGAGTTGCTGCCGGGTTAATTTTGCGCCATGGCCAAATCAGAGCGTGATGCCGCGGTTCAAGAGCTAGTGGCTAAGGAAGTGCAGGCTGCCCTGCAGAAAGCAGCTGCACAGCAGGGAATAGCCGTAGCTCCGGGAAGCGTAGTGGGATCCACTTCCCATGTGAGAGCGTCGCTGCCGGACACGTTTGTTCCAGGGAAAGGACAACCGGTGGTTCGACGATGGCTCTTTCTAGTGGAAGAATATCTACGCTTGAGCCATGTGGCTGGTGATGAGTGGGCGCCGTTCGCCGGAACCCTACTCAGAGGCTCTGCGGTGGCATGGTGGCAGTCGGTGCGACCCGCTATCCAAATCTGGCAGCAATTCAAGGAAGCTCTCGTTGCTTCTTATGAACCTATCAACGCAATGGCAAAGGCGCGAGATCGACTTGCAAATCTGCGGCAGCGTACTTCGGTAGCAGATTACATCGCTGATTTTCGTGACATCTCCACCGAGATCTCAGACCTTTCAACGGCTGAGGCGCTGGACAAGTTCAAGCGTGGCTTGAAGGACGACGTTAGGATGGAAGTGGAGGTGCAGGGCTGCAGTACGCTGGAGGAGATGGCACGTGTCGCTGAACGCTATGATGAGATCCACTTCGGCAGCCGTCGCAGCCGTTTCAACCGTGGGATGCGGTTCAGTCCGAACATGTTCCAGCCTATCCAGGGGGAGCAGCGTGGTGGAGCAGGACCGACGCCGATGGAACTGGATACGATCGACAGGAACAAGGAGAAGCGGAAGGGCTTTGCTGGAAATTGCTTCAAGTGTGGGAAGCGCGGTCACAAAGCTCTCAACTGCCCTACCAAGTCCAGGCAGCCGGGAAACAAGCTTCACCAGTAGCTTCGGGGCGAGTTACTGGTGGTGAGGAGTGCCCCACCTTGCTGACTCCATCCTCTACGCCGCTGCAGCAGGAGTCGGAAGGAGCCATAGTACTTCGGTGGCAGATTCGTGGTAAGGAGGTAAAGATGTTGCTGGATAGTGGTGCTTCATCCAATTTCATCTCTTCGCGGTTGGTGCATGAGCTGAAGTTACCTGTGCAGAGCAGTACAGCGGAGAGTACGGTGCGCATGGCGGATGGTGTACTGCGAAGCTGTGGACCTGAGTTGTACCCGGTCAGCTGTAACATAGGGGAGTTTCATGGGAAAATTCCTTTTCAACAAATCTGGCTTGACGGTCATGACATAATCTTGGGCAGGAACTGGTTGGCAGCAGTAAACCCACAGGTGGATTGGAAAACCAGGGAGGTAAAGGTGTTGTTTGGGGGAAGGTTTGTTCGCCTACCAGTGGTACAGCAGCAGGAGGAGTTGACCTTGCAGCTGATTTCTGCGAAGCAGTTTGGTAAGGCCATTCGGGGGGAGGAAGCAGTTTTTCTAGGTCTTATCACAGAGGTTCAGCCCACATCATCTGAGGCAGCGGTACCAACGGTTTTAGCATCACATGAGGATGAGGAGCTAACATGGGGTGTGGAGAAGCTGCTAGAAAAATTTTCAGGGGTGTTTCCCGAAGACTTACCGGCTGGACTTCCTCCTAAGCGAGCTGCTGATCATAGGATAGAGCTGATTCCAGGATCTACCCCACCTGTTAGACCTACTTACAAGATGAGTGCAGTGGAGCTGAAGGAGCTGAAGAAGCAGTTAGAGGACCTGCTAGCTAAGGAGTTCATTCAGCCTAGTTCTTCTCCATACGCTTCCCCGGTGCTGTTCGTGCTGAAGCAGCCTAGTACAGTGAAAGAGGTGCAGGCATTTTTGGGGTTAGCTAACTACTACCGGCGGTTTGTGAAGGGCTTTGCAGCAGTGGCAGCACCTCTGACCGATCTCTTGCGGAAGGATTCATCATTTTCTTGGGGACCTTTGCAGCAGCAAGCTTTTGAGCAGCTAAAGACTTGCCTTACTTCACCCCCTGCCCTAGCAGTACCGAATCCAGAGCTCCCGTACTTCATTTGGTGTGATGCATCTGACGTTGCCCTTGGAGCCATTCTCTGTCAGGAGCAGGAAGCGGGGCTGCAGCCAATAGCATTTGAGTCAAGGAAGCTGACTGCAGCAGAGTGCGCATACCCCATTCATGAGAGAGAGGCGCTAGCTGTGGTACATGCACTGAAGAAGTGGCGCTGTTACGTAGAGATGCAGCCTGTCACGGTCTTCACCGATCACAGAACAATGGAGTACCTGAAAACACAGTCACGGATCACTCCACGGCAGGCGCGGTGGGTTCAGTTTCTGGAGCAGTACGTCCCCAACCTGCAGATTGTCTACAAGCCAGGGCGGTTCAACCCGGCAGATGTTCTCTCACGGCCAGCAGCAGAGGAGCTGAATGTCATGGGTGTGGTTACATGGGACCGCAACTTCATCACTCGTTTCAGCCGGGGTTATAACCGTGATCAGCTGTACCAACAGAAAGTCCCTCATGACCCATCCTTTCTTTTCAGCAACCCTTTTTGGACCCGTGCAGATTCTGGTGCTGTTTGTGTACCTGATGACTCCAGGCTCCGCCAGCTGCTACTACACGAATACCATGACAACCGTTCACACTTCGGCAGTGACAAGACGTATGCTGCCATTTCTCGTGACTACTACTGGCCTGGACTGTCCCGGAGTGTAGCGGAGTATGCTTCTTCATGTCCTACTTGTCAGGTCAACAAGGCTCGCACCACTGCACCGACTGGTCTGCTGCAACCATTGGAGATACCCACAGCCCCCTGGACTTGTGTTTCTCTGGATTTTATCACAGACCTACCCCGTACCCCAACAGGCTTTGACAGCATTCTGGTGGTGATTGACAAGCTGTCCAAGATGGCTCATTTCATCCCCACAACTGGCACAGTGACTGCTGCTGAGACTGCCAAGCTGTTTTTCACACAGGTAGTAAGACTGCACGGACTGCCATCAGCCATAGTCAGTGACAGAGACACACGGTTCCTCAGCAACTTCTGGACCGCACTGTTTCAGCTGCTCGGCACACAGATACGCCTATCAACAGCCTATCATCCTGAAACTGACGGCCAGACAGAGCGCATGAACAGAACTCTGGAGGATGCGCTACGCTCGTCTGTGAATGCCATGCAGACGGATTGGGATCAGCATTTGGCAGCAGTGGAGTTTGCCTACAACGGCAGCCCGAACATCGCCACAGGAGAGCCACCGTTCCTCCTAGCCACTGGACAGCTACCACGCTCTGTTTCATCCCTCCCTCACCCTCATTATTTCCCTAACCCCACGGCAGCAGATTTCATCTCTTCTCATCACCGCATTCTCCAACTTGCCCGAAGGAAGCTTCAGCTTGCACAAGAGTGCCAAGTTCGCTATGCTAACCAGCATAGGCGTCACACCACTTTCAAAGTCGGTGATTTGGTGCTGCTTTCAACGGCTAACCTGCCCCTGCTGAATGCTGGAACCTCTCGCAAGCTCGCACCTAGATTCGTTGGACCATTCCCCATCACCAAGGTTCTCTCACCGGTCAGCTACCGCCTTCAACTCCCACCCCACATGACCATACATCCTGTTTTCCACATTCATCTTCTCCGTCCCTACCGAACTCCCTCTCATCCATTCCAGCCCCGTCCACCCATGTTCTCTGCCCATCCCGACCTGCATGAGGTTGAATCTATCCTCTCACACCGTGACACCCCTGTTGGCCGTGAATACCTTATTCACTGGCGCAACACACCTGCATCTGAGGACTCATGGGAGCCTTTCTCCAATCTCAGCCATGCTCCTCGTGCCATTGGAGTGTATCTTGCTTCGTTGGCACCGAGGATGGTGCCTTCAGGGAGGGGAGGTAATGTAACACGTGGCACCTGCGCGGGAGCTAACACGAAGCGCGCAGGTGGCGAGGGCATGCAGCAGCAGCGTGCAGCTGCGAATGTGGGCAGCGCAGGTGCGGAAGTGTGCAGGACGTGGGGAACTCACATGAGAAGGGCGAAATTGAGGTTTCGTGCCTTGAATGACTTGGGTAGACTTCCGCGTGGGACAGGTGGCGAGGGTACAGTATCGGAAGGTTAGAAATGGGACACATGTGTGCAAGCAGTGAGTTACAAATGTGTAAAAGGGTGATGCGACTCGATGTCGGGGCTGGCCACCCGAATCGACATTCCGAGCCGCATTTCTGAAATGTAAATAGTGTACATATAAAAATGCATTCGTAGGAGTTAGAGTAGTTGTTCCTTGTTTTCTTTTCTGTTTGTTCTCTTTGCTTCTAAGGAAATTCCTTGGGAAGGATTCTCAGCCAGAAACATTAGAACAAGCCTAGAAGCCGTCTAGCTTGTTCCACCGTCCGAGCCATGGGGGATAACCTGGGTTGATTTTGCAGCAGCATTGGCTGATGTGAGCCATCGATAAACAGGCCAGGGTGTAGTAACGAGCACCCACATGACACGAGCCGTGCAAACCATATTTGAGCGCTAAAATAGTGAAATTGGAGCGCAACCTGAAGCTCACTGAATTCGCCCGCCCCGCTCCTGCTAATTTCTGATGGCTGGTTTTCTTTACCACATCTGCCTGACCATTCTGGTCGGGCCAAGAGCTGGCTGGGTCCCAAAAACATTCAGGTCAGGTCGGTTGGGGTCCAGCGGCCTGAGATGTCTGGCCGCACGTGGTTTGACTTGGGCAGGTTCAGGCTTGAGAGATCTAAGACTGACCTGCAACTGACCTGCCACTGACCTGCCAGTGACCTGCCAGACTAAGTGGGAATATACGCGTTTAGCGTATATATGCGTATCGTATATACGCTAGCGTATATACGCTATCCGCTTAGGGGTTCGGTTTGGAGATACGTTTTTTCGGGCAGAGAAGAAAACTTTCCGGGCAGGTGAAAAAAGTACTCCCTATTCTTACTAAGGCTTGCCCTAGCATAATCCCGAATCCGAATGACTAGTACAACGGGAGGTGGAGTAGACCTAATAGCTCGAAAGCGAAGTAGTGTGAACTTTGGTGAAAGCGGGAACGAAATGACGAGTTAGGGTTAGCCAACAGGGTTGGCTGGTGAGTACCGTGAGATTTGTTGGGGGGTTAATTTTGACAGGTTGGAGTTTGTAGATAAAGTGGAGTTCAATGCGGTAGAAGGGATGGTTTCCAATCCCTAGATGGGATCTGAAATTCAAGATTTGCCAGACAACTTCGAAGTCAGATCCCCGTTTGCCTAGACCACGGATTTGAATTTCGACTATGGCGAAATGCTCACCTAGGAAATCCCATCTATTTCGCGATTTTTTTTCGGGCAGCCCTAAAACTTTTCTGATAGCGTATAGCGTATAGCGTATGTACGCTAGCGTACATACGCTATACGCTTAAGGTGTTAAGCGTATATTCGCACTAAGCTGCCAGTTGCCAGTGACCTGCCACTGCCACTGACCTACTACTGTACTGCCAGTGAACCACATGAAGGTCCCGTCCCTCACAGCAGACACCTCTTCTCTTGCTTCTCGCCCTTCAAGAAGCCAAGCACCGGAAGCCAGCAGCCTCGCTACCAGTGAGTGTGACCTGCTGGTGACCGATAATATTCAGCCTACATTCCCCAACCCCCACACGCGCACCTCCTCTGCTCGTCCACAGAGTAAGGACATGGCCACAGCGCACCCAGCAGCCCGACCCAGCCGACCCGACCCACCAGTCATTCATGAGCACCTAGCACAACACTATTCCTCACTCACTCAAGGCGCACCTCCTTCTCCTGCTGCTCGTCCGCCCTCAAAAACCACCACGGGGCACCCAGCAGCCCAGCCCCGAACAGCCCCTGCCAACCCCAGGCCCCACGGCCCCCACCCAGCCCCGCCCAGACCCACCCAGCCTCGCCCAGACCCACCCAGCCTCGCCCAGACCCACCCAGCCCCGCCCAGCCCCACCCAGCCTCGCTCACCACCATAATACTCACCTAAAAGGCATTGCACCACGCGCCTCCTTTTCCCTCTGCTCTCCTTCCCAGACGAAAACAAAAACTGCCACGCGGCACCCAGTGGCCCAGCCCAATTCCCCCCAGCTTCGCCTGCAGCCTGTCATGCACCTCCGGCACGTGAACAGCCCACTCGCATGCTGCTGTGGGGGTGAACCGTGCCTGCCTGCGCCATCGGGTTGGGAGTTGGTGTGGCAGAAGTCGGTGAGAAGCAGGTGGAGGGGAGGTGAAAGTGAGAAGGAAAGGGGAGAGGGGGGAGGGAGGGAAGGGTAAACAGCACAGTGGTGTAGCATATGAGAGGGATGTGGGAGTTGGTGCTGTAGGGGTGGGAGGGAAATCACGGGGCAGAAGTCAGTGTGGGAGAAGCAGGTGCTGATCCTTTGTGCTACTGGAGGTGCTCGAGTCGCTGGTTTGGAGGTGCTCGTACTGGAGGTACTGGAGCTGCTGGGACTGGAGGTGCTGGTTCTGGGGGTGCTGCTGCTGGAGACACTGAGGTTGGAGACCCTGGGACTGGAGGTGTCGGTTCTGGGGCTGGAGGTTCTGGAGCTGCTGGGGGTGCTGGAGCTGCTGGAGGTACTGGAGCTGCTGGAGCTGCCGGTACTGGTGCAGCTGCGCCGACACGACTGTTCTTCGCTCCGCCGTCTCCGTCGTCTCTGCCGCCGTCTGACTCTGTTCTTCGTCAGGTTCTTACTCTCCCGTCGTCTACTGGTCTTCCGTTACAGCCTGGCTCACCGCTTCCTGCTCCTTCTCCTTACACTGAGCAGACTGGTAGTCCTGCTGAGCGTCGTGAGTCTGCGTCGCGTCCTGTCTCGCCTGTTCGTCCTGGTCGTACCGGTCGTCGTGTTCCTCGGTCGCGTCAGCCGGCTGTCCCCAGCGCACACCTCGTAGTCCGTCGTCCTTCCTCTGCTCCGCAGCCTGTTCCTCTGCCGTCTCCTCCTGCGTCCTCTTTGCCTGACGTTCCGGACCCTGCGTCTGACCAGTTTCGTGCTGAGCACCCTACTGTCACGCGTCTGCTAGCCACTGTTGTCACTGACCCGTCGTTTGAGTCTGCTGCTGCGTCTGCTCTTGTCGCTGAGCTTGTTGACTTTGCTGCTGCTTGTCGTCTAGACTTCGCTGCCAGTCTTGTTGCCGAGTCTGAGTCTGTCTGTCCTCCGTCCGTCGGGGATGAGTGTGCTCTTAGCACGGACGTCCTTGAGGACAGACACGAGGACCTTGAGTGTCTTGCGGCTGCTGCGTCTCATCTCGTGGCCATGCTGCTTGCCCCTGAGGGAGACCCGGATGCACCAGACATCCCGACCCCGCGCTCTTACGCTGAGGCGATCGCGGGTGAGTACTCCTCTCAGTGGCAGACAGCCATGGACGCAGAGATGGCATCCTGGAAGTCCACAGGCACTTACGTCGATGAGGTTCCCCCTCCTGGGGCGAACATCGTCGATGGCATGTGGATTTTCAGGGTGAAGCGGCCGCCGGGTTCTCCGCCTGTCTTCAAGGCTCGTTACGTTGCTAGAGGCTTCAGTCAGCGAGAGGGAGTTGACTTCTTCCAGACCTTCTCCCCCACCCCGAAGATGACTACTCTTCGGGTGCTGCTGCACGTTGCCGCTCAGCGTGACTATGAGCTTCACTCTCTTGACTTCAGCACAGCTTTCTTATAGGGCAGCCTGCACGAGGAGATCTGGCTGCGCCGCCCACCTGGCTTCACTGGGTCGTTCCCTCCTGGTACCCAGTGGAGCCTCCGGCGGCCAGTCTACGGTCTCCGCCAGGCGCCACGTGAGTGGCACGATACACTGAGGACGACACTGGCGGCTCTTGGGTTCGCTCCTTCGACAGCTGACCCGTCGCTGTTCCTGCGCACCGACACTTCGCTGCCACCGTTCTACATCCTCGTGTACGTCGACGACTTGGTCTTTGCCACTGCTAACACTGAGGCTCTCGCCTTGGTGAAGTCGGAGCTGCAGAAGAGACGCACGTGCACAGACCTGGGTGAGCTGCGCAGTTACCTTGGCTTGCAGATCACTCGGGACAGAGCACGCCGCACCATCACACTGACTCAGTCACACATGGTGCAGCAGGTCCTTCAGCGCTTCGGCTTCACCTGGTCCTCGCCACAGCACACTCCTCTGGCTACAGGTCACTCGCTCTCAGCTCCACCTTCGGACGAGTCCGTAGAGCCGAGTGGTCCTTACCCAGAGCTAGTGGGCTGCCTCATGTACTTGATGACCTGCACTCGTCCTGACCTTGCGTACCCTCTTGGCCTTCTCGCTCGCTACGTGGCTCCTGGTAGGCACCGACCAGAGCACATGGCTGCTGCTAAGAGGGTACTGCGCTACTTGTGCAGTACATCGGGCATGGGGCTCGTGCTTGGAGGACGGAGTGAGGTGGTCCTCACTGGGCACTCAGACGCGTCTTGGGTTGACGACCAGACTACTCAGCGGTCGTCACAGGGTTACACCTTCAGCCTTGGCTCTGGCTCTGTTTCTTGGCGGTCTACACGCTCGTCTTCTGTTCTCAGCTCCAGTTGTGAGGCTGAGATCTACGCCACCGCCATGGCTGCACAGGAGCTACGCTGGCTCACCTACCTGCTGACTGACTTGGGTGAGCGGCCTCGTTCTCCTCCAGTGCTGTACGTTGACAACAAGGCGGCCATTGCCTTGTGTGAGGAGCACAGACTGGAGCACAGAACGAAGCACATTGCTCTGCGTTACTTCCTGGCTCGAGAGTTGCAGCAGCGAGGCCAGCTTCGTCTTCGCCACGTGGCCACTCGGGCCAACACTGTTGATATATTCACCAAGGCACTTCCGTCTGGTGATCATCAGCGCTTTTGTACTCTGTTGGGCCTTGTGCCTACGTTTCCACACTTGCTGTAGTCTCTGCTTGTACTGTGATATATATATGTATATGCATGCTGGTTCTTGCTAGGTAGCCATCACTGTACTGTTATTGCTGCATGTGAACTGGCCTTGTGGCCCTTTGCTTGTGCTCAGAATGTGTGGTGACGTTGTGATCCACCCTGAGCTTGTTTTGTTTCTCTTGACTGGTCTTGTGACCACTTGTTCTCCCCCACTTTGCCTATGGGGGTGTGTCAAACTATATGTGCTGCATATTGTCTAGGCTGTAGTGGGGTAGCCCATATGGGGTACAACCCAATTAGGGTTTACTACTTGTACTCCTGCATCCTGCTAGTTCAATCATTCCTGCTGCTAGATTCTGACACATCCCTGTTAGAGCGAACTCGGTTTCGTCAGTGTGTCTACACCTCTTAACTCTGAAATATCAGTGTCCTAGAACGAAACACTTTTTTTTGTAAGGGTCTAGAAATGAACCACTCTGAAAGAAAAGGGTGAATAATGAAAACCAGCCTTATAGTAAGTGTCATAAGGGTGATTCACCCTGTTAACCAGAGGCCTGATCCACGGCTCCCGACTCACTGACATCTGACAGCGTGTCCTTTCGCCAACATCGCCTGTGTCACCACCGCACGACCAACATCGACGGCTGACATTCCAACTTTTCAAAATTCGCTTGGTCTTTTGGTCAGCCTCGCGTCAGCTCGAAAGTCAACGGGCTTCTACACCGGCGGATCAGATTCAACCGAGATCTGCAGTTTTCACGCTACTGCAAGACTCGGCTACGTATAAGGGCACCTTATTTAGAAGGTGGGAGAGTGTAATGAATGTACGTTCAACACTGTACAGGCTGCTCCTAGCGAGGACAGCCCCGAGCACTTCGCGTGAGGATGGCTCGGCCTACACTTTCGCACCGAACCAATTCCGAGTCGCCCCGCACCAATCGCGACATTTCCGAGCCACGCACGCCTAGAGGTTCTCGCCTAGCTAGTTTCGCCCTATATATTCTTGTTTCCTTCATTGTTTCCTCATTCTGTAATCACGTTCTCTTTATAGAAGTCTTCTGCGCACTGTTTAGTAAAACTAATACCGTAACATAATTGTTAGTGACTAGAATTGACCTGATGTGTGACGAGATGGACGCGCCCTGTATTTCCAACCACGCAGACCTGTATTTCCAACCCTGTATTTGTAACCATGCAGACATACCCGATGTTAGGCAAGACGAGTCTTGATGGTCTGACAAGGATACGCGCGAACTGAAACGAAGGGGCTCTCGTGGCTGAGACGTGCACTTATCGAATATGACAATGTCGGGAGAGAGCGAGATGGAGCAGATGGCGGCGGGGACGGGCAAGGGCGACGAGCGCAAGGAGGCGCAGCGGAAGAAGATAGTGCGATTCTCGGGGAACGATGACGACGGTGACGATGACGACGCCAAGTGCGCGATTTCCCCCGTCCTCTCCTCCCTCCTCGCGCGTTTGCCAGATTCTTCGTCGCTCTCGTCCATGCGACACTTCCGTTCGCCAGCGACGCAATCGCCGCGCGCCCCTCGTTGTCCTCAAGTCCGTTCTCCGCGCCCAGCCATTCTTCCCCGTCCCCTCTCCCGCTTCCCCCCATCCCCCGTTCCTCCCCCCTCCCCCCCCCCCCCCCCCAACCCCCCCGCGCGCGCGCAGGCCACGGCGCGCGGTGCTGCCGGAAAAGAAGCCGAAGAAGGCAAAAGGCGCGCCCGCCGCCGCTGACATCAGCGCGATGGACCTCGACGACCTCGGCGCGGAGCCCGGCGCGGCGGCGCTGATGGGCTCCGCGGATCCGCGCGTGGCGGCGCAGGCGCGCGCGCAGCAGCGGAAGAAGGGGAAGAGCAAGTGGGGGGACACTGCGTTCGGGGGCGTGGAGGACGTGGCGCGCGCTGAAGAGGACTTCCAGGTGCGCGGCGCGGGGAAGGGGGGAAGGGGAAGGGGGCGAGGGGAAGGGGGGGAGGGCGTTGGGGGGGAGGGTGATGGGGGGGACTGGGGAGGGGGACGTGAGTGAAGCAGATGAGTGTTGAGTGTGGTGAGGCACATGGTAGGGCCGGTCGGGTTGGGTGCGGGTGGGCGTATTTCAGAAATGGCAAAGCGTGCAGTGCAGGCAGTGCGGTTGTGTGGGGGGATCCGCAGTGCACTAGCTGCTTCGCTCACATCCATTCTTGCCTCTGCTCTCTCTGCTCTGTGTGCTCTGCTGTGCGATTCTGTGCTGTGGCGTGCTGTGCCATGCCGTGCTGTGTGCTGGGCGGTGTGATGGCATGGGCGAGTGGGGCCACCACGGCATACTGGCAGGGAAAGGAGGAAGAGGAGGAGGCGATGGAGCCATTCAACCGAGCGCGAGGAGGGAGAGTGCACAGCCTGGTTGACCCTCACATGCATTCCCTCCTCTGCCCTGCATGCCCTGCTGTGCTGTGCCGTGCCGTGCCATGGGTGCATGGTGGCAGGGAGAGGAGGAGGAGCAGGAGGCAATGGAGCCGTTCAACCTTCAGCAGGAGCGCGAGGAGGGGTACTTTGATGCCGAGGGCAACTATGTGGAATACAGAGAGGACACCGAGGCCACGGTGAGTGCAGGGAGGGAAGAGAGGCCACGGTGAGTGCAGGGAGGGCTGAGAGGCGCAGGGAGGGGGCGTGTGGGTGCGGAGAAAAGCAGGGCGAAGGCAGTGAGGGCACGGTGAGGAAGAGGTGTTGGTACCAAGAGATGCGGCTCGGATGCTTTAATTTTAGACTCACGCTATACCCCTTCGCTCTAACTTCTCTCTCCCGCTGTGCTTTGGATAGTCTTGTGTCTGTTAGGAAGGCTCTCTCATGCATGCCTCCCCCCTCCCTCTTCTCCGCCTCCTTTTTCCCTCTCTCCATACCCCATCCTCTCCCCTTCCCCCCCCCCTTTCCCCCCCCCGCACAGGACGCATGGCTGGCGACAGCGGAGGTGGACCCCCCTCTAGCAGAGCAGCCAAGGCAGCGGTGTGACCGCTCCACGTTCTCACCTCCTCTCTTCCACCCCGCCGTCTCAACCCTTCCCTTCCTCTCCCCGCCCCCCCCCCGCATCTTCCCCCTTTCCTCTTCCCCCGCACAGGATGCATGGCTGGCGACGGCAGAGGTAGACCCCACTCTAGCGGCCAAGGCAGCAGCGCGCGCACAGGCAGCGGCGGCAGCGGAGGAGGCGGGGGGCAGCGAGATGGGGCACGGCGAGATGGCGGCCATCAGGCGGCGCATCGCTGATGCTCTCAGGCCAGGGGAGACGGTGAGTGAGTGTGGATGGGAGGGGAGATGCGGGTGAGGGGGCTGGGAGGATGGTGTGACTGCTGGGCGGGGCATGAGATGATGAGGGCAGTGGGGCTGAGCGCCATGCAGTGAGGCTGAGCGCCATGCAGTGCGGCTGAGCGCCATGCAGTGCGGTGTAACATGGCAGGGGAAAACTTCCGCCAGGCAGCACTGCAAGGCAAACTTTGCCTGGCAAAGGGACCTCCGAGAGTGATGGATGGCAGTGAAGTGGTTGGCACGCCCTCACCCACCACCTCGCACCACTTTGCATACCTGCCTGCCTTCGTGCACGGTGCACCTGGTCTCAACGGTCCCCCTTGCTACACGTGCTGTCAAATCATCCCAATCTTCCATCTTCTGTTGCAAATCTTCCCCTTCTCCACCCCTGCCCACAAAAGGCCCCCTTTCCACTTCCACCCAACCCCCCTCCCCCCCCCGCCCCTCCCCCCTCCCCCCCTTCCATCCCCCGGCCACGTGTGCAGGTGATTCAAGGGCTCAAGCGCCTGGGGCGAGGGAAGAAGGGCGCAGGGCAGGGAGGAGCAGGGGGCGTGAAGGGGAGGAAAGGGGGGAAGAAGAGAGGTCGTTCGGGGGTTGAAGGGGACGGGGAGGAGGGCGGGGAGGGGAGGGGGAAGGGGGGTAGGCAGCAGAATAGACCTCGGTGGATGGAGGAGGCGGGAGGGGGGGAGGGGGAGGAGGGCGGCATGGATGAGGAGGAAAGGCAGCGGCTGTTCGAGCAGTTGACTGAAGATGCCATGCTGCTCATGGATGCTGGCGAGACAGGTGCGGTGAGATAGGTACGGCAAGACAGGTGCGGTGGGATAGGTACGGTGGGATAGGTACGGTGGGATAGGTGCGGTGGGATAGGTACGGTGGGATAGGTGCGGTGGGATAGGTGCGGTGGGATAGGTGCGGTGGGATAGGTGCGGTGGGATAGGTGCGGTGGGATAGGTGCGGTGGGATAGGTGCGGTGGGATAGGTGCGGTGGGATAGGTACGGTGGGATAGGTATGGTGGGATAGGTACGGTGGGATAGGTACGGTGGGATAGGTACGGTGGGGAAGGTACGGTGGGATAGGTACGGCAAGACATATACAGTCGAATAGGTACGGCGAGACAGGTACTGTGAGACAGGTACAGCAGGATAGGTGCGGTGGGATAGGTACGGCACGGCGAGGCAGGAACTGTGGAATATGTACGGCGAGACAGGTACGGCGAGACAGGTACTGTGAGACAGGTACGGCGAGACAGGTACTGTGAGACAGGTACGGTGAGACAGGTACGGCGGGATAGGTATGCTGAGACTGGTACAGTGAGACAGAAATAGGCGGTGGATGGGTGACTGCTTGTGTAGAGTAGAGCATAGGCACTGGGAGCTTCATCTTGTGAAGGAGTTGAGTCGGTCGGAGGACGACCGTTGTTCTGGGTGCAGTGGATCGTACATGCTTCTGCATGCCTCTGCTCCTGCCTCGCATGCCACACACGCCATCATGCATGCTGCATGCCCGACAGACATGCGAGCGCGGGTGACCTTGACTTTGAAGGATGCTAGACGCACACCAAGGCAACGAGAGAGCATTCCATTCGTTCCCCTTCACCCCTTTCCTCCTCCCCATGCGCCGCGGTGCTTGCGTGCATGCGTGCAGAGGGGTACTCGGACAAGAAGGAGACGTGTGAGCGCGAGGCCGCGGGGTACGACCTTGAAGAGCCGAGAGCATGGCCGTAGTGATCACACGTGTGCTGCTTGCTGCCCCTCGTCTCCACCCCGTGCGGCATGGCATGGCATGGTGTTGCTGTGCGTGCAGAGGTGTATTCGGACAAGAAGGAGACGTTTGAGCGCGAGGCCGCGGGGTACGAGGCCATCCTGCGCGCCCGCCAGGGGCTGCTGGGGGGGGACGCGGAAGAGGGGGGCAAGGGCGAGGGGGGTAAAGGGGGGGAGGAGGGAGGGATTGGGAAGACGGGAGGTGCGGGGATGGACATGTTTGGGGATGAGGATGATGACGAGGGGGGGATGATAAAGCGGGCGATGGTAAAGGGGAAGGGGGGGAGAAGGAAGGTGAGAGCAAGGAGGCAAAGGGAGGGGCAGAAGGGCAAGGAGGGGAGAAGGGGGGAGGGGAGGGGAAAACAGGGGGTGAGGGGAGCGGAGCACCGAGCAACAGCAGTGGCTACGAGTTTGACCCGGCCAGTGGGTGAGTGCGTGCCTGCTCTAACAGAAGCTTTGCGGCCATTGGGTGAGAGCAGTGGGTGAGTGCGTGCCTGTTCTAACAGAAGCTTTTCGTCCACTGTGTGAGAGCAGTGGGTGAGTGCGTGCCTGTTCTAACAGAAGCTTTTCGTCCACTGGGTGAGAGCAGTGGGTGAGTGCGTGCCTGTTCTAACAGAAGCTTTTCGTCCACTGGGTGAGAGCAGTGGGTGAGAGCACGGGGTGCTTCAGGTGCTCCGGCCCTCTTGTTGCGCCCATGCAAGCATGCTCCCCCACGTTCTTCACCACTGCCCTGCGCTCCACCGCCCTGCGCTCCACCGCCCTGCGCTCCACCGCCCACTCCCTGCCTATCACTGCGCCCTCGTCCTCTCTCCCCTGCACTTTCACACCCGCGTGTCAGTTACTCTCCACCATCCCCTGCTTGTCATGCCAATCTTCCTCCATTCTCTCGTCCCACCCCTCCCTCCCTGCCCTCTTCCTCACACACACACACACACACACGCACACACACACACACACACACACACACACACACACACACACGCACACACACACACACACACACACGCACGCACGCACGCACGCACACGCACACACACACACACACACACGCACGCACGCACGCACACACACACACACACGCACACACACACACACGCACACACACGCACACACACACACACACACACGCACGCACGCCCGCACGCACACACATCCACAGTGCTTCCCCCCAACCCCCTATCCTACTCCTTCGCCAACACCCCAGACTCCGCTTTCCTGCCACAACCCCCCTCCCTTCCTCTGCCCTCCCCGTCGTTGTGGCGATCGCCAATCTGCAATACAAGCACCTTCTCTTTGAAAAACGCACCTCTTGTGTCCATGCTGCAAACCCTTCTCCCCCGCCCCCCCCCCCTCTCCCTCCCTCTCCTTCAACTTCAACGCCCTACCTCAACTCCACTCCCTCTCCCCCCTCCCAGCTATTACTTTAACAAGGAGCAGGGCTATTACTACGATTCCTCCTCTGGCCTCTTCTGCAGCGCTGCCAATGGCACATGGTAGGGTTGAATCCGGTGCAGAGTAGGGTTGGGTGTGGGGCAGTGCAGTGCGGTGACATCCTGTTGTTAGCATGCTGTTTTGGATGTGAGAACAGCAACAGCACGGAGTCTGGTTTGCACTCTCTGCAATGCCGACATGCCATGTGCATGTGCACTCAATGCCAGCCATGCCATGCCATGTGCTTGCCATACCATGCCATGTGCTTGCCATACCATGCCATGTGCTTGCCATACCATGCCATGTGCTTGCCATACCATGCCATGTGCTTGCCATACCATGCCATGTGCTTGCCATACCATGCCATGTGCTTGCCATGCCATGCCATGTGCTTGCCATACCATGCCATGTGCTTGCCATGCCATGCCATGTGCTTGCCATGCCATTCCCATGTGAGCCCAAGCCCCGCGTGTGGATTGCAGCAATCAGCCGTGCATGCGTGCACATGGTGCTCACATCACATGCCTGTCCCCCCATGGGTCCACCCGTAGGTACCGCTTTAACGAGGCAACAGGCGAGTACGAGGTGCTGCCAGGCGACGCCACACAGGGAGGCGCTTCAGGTGGCGCTGCTGGCACAAACGGCAAGGTTGGGGGAGGGGAGGATGCAGATGCTGGCGAGGCTGCTGGTGGCAGTGCAGCCAAGGGGGCAGGTGGGGATGAGGCAGGTGGGGATGAGGCAGGTGGGGATGCAGACGATGCAAAGGCAGAAGGAGGGGGTTTGGCAGGTGAGGGGCGAGCATGTGAAGATGTAGCACACACAGAGGATGGGACAACAACAACTGCTGCTGCTGCTGCCGGGGACGGATAGGATGCAAGGCAGCTCGTGCTGAGCTGAGCGTGAGAGTAGGTAGGTGATTTGGGGACTGAATGGCGTGCCACGGTGCATTATATGTCCGTGATGCTTGAGTTGAGAGGCCAATGTGAATCGTAATACGGTAACTGACTTCTCACAATGTCTCATTCGCCCGACACGAAAGGACCCCGCAAAATAATAGAACAAACAGTAGTACACTAATCACACGAATGGAAGCTAGGGGCACACTCTGAAGTTAGGGGTACACTATCCCTGTGTGGCATAATCCAGGCGGCTACTTCTTTGGGGAACTGCATGGGCAGGACAGGACAGTCCACCTGCCGTTGTCTCTGTCACTAGGTGCTGTGAGAAAGCCCCTTGCGACTCTCATCCAGATCCAGTAGTCTATGCACTCACCCCGCCTCACACGTCCGCCTGCCCGACCAGCAATACCGCACATTACCCTGTGCAGAAGCATGACTTGGTACATCCAGTATTGTACTACACCACATGAAGCTTGTGAGGCAGCCATTCGTGTATACATGTATCAATAGCTTGGCAACAGTTGTGAAGACCAAATCACAGGCAGACCACCTGGGCGGCATGGTGATTGATTACGACTGCTGCTCTCTCTGCACACGGACAGGGCTCACACTGTTCTGCATGCTTGTCCCTGGCCTCAGCGGTACCAGTATGTGTTGCCTCACATCATGCCCCGTCAGTGCATGGCCTGTCTTGCTTCACATCATGATCTGTCCGTACACAGAACGGTGCTCCTTGGGCCTTGGCTCTGTCTGTGCACTTCACGTGTGTGCCGGCGTGACGAAGCAGTGCACGCCAATCATCTACAAGCACCTGCGAAGCGGGTGCGATGCTGGACTGCAGGAGCAACGCTGGCACGCCGTCGACTTGCGCTGTTGTCACGCCGTCGACCTGCAGCGTTGGCAAGCCGCGTCTCTGCACTGCTGGAGCGCGGTCGACCAAGTCGTGCTGGCACGCGGTCGACCGTGCTGCGCTGGCAGTCGACCTGCTTGCATCCTAGCTCTGATGTAGTCTTTCCTAGCCAACTTCATTGTATCATTGTTGTCAACTTTCTCTAGTGAAGCTCTTGCCAAATTGCCTTGTGAACTAGCAAGCAGTGTGTGCACTAGGAAAACGACTAAGGAACAGAGAACGCAGAGATCACACGAGCATACGTGCCTAGCCCGTAGTCTAGCTCCCGTTACTAGAGTTATCTCCGCATCCGCCATGCATGATTCAGCCAGGCATGATTCAGCCAGGCATGATTCAGCCAGGCAAGATTCAGCCTGGCGAGATTCAGTCATGCATGATTCAGCCAGGCATGATTCAGCCAGGCATGATTCAGTCAGGCATGATTCAGCCAGGCATAAATCTGCCAGGCTTGATCCAGCCAGGCATGATTTAGCCAGGCATGATTCAGTCATGCATGATTCAGCCTTGCATGATTCCGCCAGGCATGATTCAGGCAGGCATGATTCAGCCTGACATGATTCAGCCTGCATGATTCATCCAGGCATGATTCAGTCAGGCATGATTCAGCCAGGCATGATTCAGCCAGGCATGATTCAGCCAGGCATGATTCAGCCAGGCAAGATTCAGCCTGGCGAGATTCAGTCATGCATGATTCAGCCAGGCATGATTCAGTGAGGCATGATTAAGCCTGGAATGATTAAGCCATGCATGATTCAGCCAGGCGTGAATCAGCCAGGCATGATTCAGCCAGGCATGATTCAGTCAGGCATGATTCAGCCAGGCATGATTAAGCCAGGCATGAATCAGTCATGCATGATTCAGCCAGGCAAGATTCAGCCTGGCGAGATTCAGTCATGCATGATTCAGCAATGTATAAATCAGCCAGGCATGGTTCATCCAGGCAGGATTCTGCCAGGCATGATTCAGCCAAGCATGATTCAGCCAGGCGAGATTCAGCCAGGCATGATTCAGCCAGGCATGATTCAGCCAGGCATGATTCAGCCAGGCATGATTCAGCCTTGCATGATTCTGCCAGGCATGATCCAGCCAGGCATGATTCATCCAGGAATGATGCAGCCTGGCATGATTCAGCCAGGTAGGATTCAGCCAGGCATGATTGAGTCAGGCATGATTCAGCCTGGCATGATTCAGCCACGCATTATTCAGCCAGGCGTAGTTCATCCTGGTATGATTCAGCCAGGCATGATTCAGCCAGGCATGATTCAGCCTGGCATGATTCATTCAGGCATGATTCATCCAGGCATGATTCAGCCAGGCATGATTCAGCCAGGCATGATTCAGTCAGGCATGATTCAGTCAGGCAGGATTCTGCCAGGCATGATTCAGCCAGGCATGATTCAGCCAGGCATGATTCAGCCAGGCATGAATCAGCCATGCATGATTCAGCCAGGCAAGATTCAGCCTGGCGAGATTCAGTCATGCATGATTCAGCCATGTATAAATCAGCCAGGCATGGTTCATCCAGGCAGGATTCTGCCAAGCATGATTCAGCCAGGCATGATTCAGTCATGTCATGCATGATTCAGGCATGCATGATTCAGCCAGGCATGGTTTAGCCAGGCGAGATTCAGCCAGGCATGATTCAGCCTGGCATGATTCAGCCAGGCATGATTCAGCCAGGCATGATTCAGCCAGGCATGATCCAGCCAGGCATGATTCATCCAGGAATGATGCAGCCTGGCATGATTCAGCCAGGTAGTATTCAGCCAGGCATGATTGAGTAAGGCATGATTCAGCCTGGCATGATTCAGCCACGCATTATTCAGCCAAGCGTAGTTCATCCTGGTATGATTCAGCCAGGCATGATTCAGCCAGGCATGATTCAGCCTGGCATGATTCAGCCAGGCATGATTCATCCAGGCATGATTCAGCCAGGCATGATTCAGCCAGGCATGATTCAGTCAGGCATGATTCAGCCAGGCATGATTCAGCCTGGCATGATTCAGCCAGGCATGATTCAGTCAGGCATGATTCAGCCAGGCATGATTCAGCCTGGCATGATTCAGCCATGCATGATTCAGCCAGCCGTGAATAGGCCAGGCATGATTCAGCCAGGCATGATTCAGCCAGGCATGATTCAGCCAGGCATGATTCAGCCAGGCATGATTCAGCCAGGCATGATTCAGCCAGGCATGAATCAGTCATGCATGATTCAGCCAGGCATGATTCAGCCAGGCATGATTCAGCCAGGCATGATTCAGCCTGGCATGATTCAGCCAGGCATGATTCAGCCAGGCGAGATTCAGCCTTGCATGATTCAGCCAGGCATGATTCAGCCAGGCATGATTCAGCCAGGCATGATTCTGCCATGCATGATTCAGCCAGGCATGATTCAGCCAGGCATGATTCAGCCAGGCATGATTCAGCCAGGCATGATTCAGCCAGGCATGATTCAGCCAGGCATGATTCAGCCAGGCATGATTCAGCCAGGCATGATTCTGCCAGGCATGATTTAGCCAGGCATGATTCTGCCAGGCATGATTTAGCCAGACATGATTCAGCCAGGCATGATTCAGCCAGGCATGATTCAGCCAGGCATGATTCAGCCAGGCATGATTCAGCCAGGCATGATTCAGCCAGGCATGATTCAGCCAGGCATCTTTCAGCCAGGCATGATTCAGCCAGGCATGATTCTGCCAGGCATGATTTAGCCAGGCATGATTCTGCCAGGCATGATTTAGCCAGACATGATTCAGCCAGGCATGATTCAGCCAGGCATGATTCAGCCAGGCATGATTCAGCCAGGCATGATTCAGCCAGGCATGATTCAGCCAGGCATCTTTCAGCCAGGCATGTTTCAGCCAGGCATGATTCTGCCAGGCATGATTTAGCCAGGCATGATTCTGCCAGGCATGATTTAGCCAGACATGATTCAGCCAGGCATGATTCAGCCAGGCATGATTCAGCCAGGCATGATTCAGCCAGGCATGATTCAGCCAGGCATGATTCAGCCAGGCATCTTTCAGCCAAGCATGTTTCAGCCAGGCATGATTCAGCCAGGCATGATTCAGCCAGGCATGATTCAGCCTTGCATAATTCTGCCAGGCATGATTCAGCCAGGCATGATTCAGCCAGGCATGATTCAGCCAGGCATGATTCAGCCAGGCATGATTCAGCCAGGCATGATTCAGCCAGGCATGATTCAGCCAGGCATGATTCAGCCAGGCATGATTCAGCCAGGCATGATTCAGCCAGGCATGATTCAGCTGTTAGAGACTAAGGACTGAGTCTATGAAGATTAGGTGCCCAAATAACTCAAAATCGTTGGCTTAGAATTCTGGACAGAAACCGCGATTTCACAAGAAACGCCGTCGACGAAAAACCTAACCGTTAGATTTTCGTCAAACTCGAAACCGTGGCTACAAACCGTGGCTAAAAAACCAATTCCCAATTTGAATCACCTCAAAAGATGGAGTATATCTCGAGTTATGCTTTTCGGCGCACTAGGGGGTATGCTGCCACAGAAACTTAACTCAATCACAAGAGTCTCACAAGTTCACAAGTTGAGACACAAGAGCATTAGAGTGGCACTAAACCAGGTTCGAGGGAAGAGGATGACGAAAGGGAAGGTCCCAAGGAGTCCCCAACCAAGGAAACCCCATGCCACACAATTCCCCTCTCCATAGGCAACCCCACTTTCACATTTGTCACTTTCCAACTCATGCCATCCACCTCAACCCACTTGGCCACACTTGCCAACCTGGTTTGGCTTCTCCCAACCACATGGCAGCAATCTACAGTGATGGGTTCGAATTCCCAACCCCAAAAGTCTGTACCCCATATTGAGTCAAACCCCACAACTTCCATAGTCACCACAACCGGAGTACAGAAAGCATACGAACTCCAACGTTCGTAACTTTCTTGATATTGCTCCGATTGCGACGATTCTTGGCTCGTCGGAAAGCTCTTGAGCAGAGGAGTCACTTCAGATATCTGCTCAAGCCAAATACCATTCACACACACTCAGGAGATCCAAACCACACCAAACACAAATTCTTGTA